TCTCTCTCTCTAACACACACACACACACGAACAGGAGGAAAACCGTAACTTTGGATTAGATGAGTGGATGATGGAATGCCAACAGTACAGTTCACGTTAAGCAGAATCATAAATTGAGCTCAATGACTTTAAGAACATAGAAAAATCTGACAAGGGAGGAAGGGAGGCAGGCCAGGAAGGTTAACCTGATGAAACGAGTCCTGCTGAGCTTTCCACCTGAGGATAGCACTTCTCCTGAAGCCATGTTAAAAACCGCTCTTGAAATTTGCGAAATCCCTCTCCAGTCTACCACTGGAACGTTATTCAAGCACAGATCTTCAGTTTAGATTTGCAAAATCCCTCTCCAGTCCGCCACTGGAACGTTATTCAAGCACAGATCTTCAGTTTAGATTGGCTTTTCACACGTTTTTGGTCTTCCCTTTTCTGTAGCTGTCAATGATAATGAGACAGATGCTGGTCATTGCCTTCATTGATGGTCAAGATAAATATTAAATACCACTTGGCTGACCTTGGGTATCTCAGCGACCAATGCTCAGAAGTTTTCCCATGTCATCCAGAGGTCCTCAACATCTGCCCATGTCATCAGCTGGAAGTAAGGATAGAGCATCTCCCGTCCGCCAAATCTTTACCCTGATCCTTCAACATATCACAGTCTACAAAACGATAAGCGATCCTGAGATATCGATGTTGAGATTGGGATGGTAGCTTTGACATTTGACTTCTCCATTTTCACAATCATTCACCCCTGATGAAGTCCTTGTCCGCCCTCCTCAGCTCGCTCATCACTCCTATCCTAAAACGGCCCGTCCAAGACTTACAGTGCACAAGCCTGGCAACCGCTCCCCAATGCGAAGTCGCAATTCTCGACAGCCCTAGCCTCGCTATGCTGGCATGAAGGTTCTTCACTGAATGAAGTGTTGTTCTTCTGCAAATGAACCTGCTCCAATCATCAGCAGCACGATCATCATGAACATCAGAATTTTTTGCTGGCATCCAGAGGTCCTTCAACATCTGCCCTTGCCATCACCTCGAAGCAAGGACAGAGCATCTTTCATCCCCAACGAATCTTTACCCTGATCCTTCAACCTATCACCATGTAGAAATTGACACCGATCTTGAGATATTGATGTTTAGATGGAGATGGTAGCTTTGACATTTCACATCTCCATTTCCATAATCATTCACCCATGATGAAGTCCTCATCTGCCCTGCCCTCCTCACTCATCTCTCCAGTTCTTAAACCAACCTTCCAAGACTTCCAGCTTTCAAGCCTGGCAACCACTCCCCAATGCAACCAAGCCGCAACGCTCGACAGCTGTAGCCTCACTATCCTGGCTTGAAGGTTCTTCACTGAATCAAGCACTGCCGTTCTTCAAATGAACCTGCTCCAATCATCCGCAACATGATCATCATCAACATCAACATCGAGATGCGTCATTAAACCACCACCACATCCGAACCTTTTTTTCCAGACCGAGCACCTCAAGACGCGGCGTGCTAACCGCTTGGTGGTGGTTTAATGCAATCATCATCAAGGATGGCATGTGTGAGTGAGTACAGGTGTGTGTGCATGCATTGGCATCCACCATCCGTTCTCTGCCGTTTGGTAGCATCAGGGACCATGGCAAGAAGACCAATCCATGTGCTTCCCCTCAGGTCCCCTCCCCTATGAATATCAGCAGACTCTGCTCGATGCCGATCGGGGGATCCAGTGGGCGATCTCTAGGTGGCAGGTGCCAAGTATCCCCAGGAAGGCACATGAGGCCAATGGGGATTGAACCCACAACCTCCCGAATGCCACTTGTGAGCCATACCAACAGAGGAAGGCCGCTGGATATTGTCTGCTTCCCGTGGAGTTAAACTTGGGTCTGTATTTCAACATTTTGGCGGTGTACCACTGAGGTAGGCCAGTTGGTGGGGCAAAATGGGGGCCGGGGGGGGGCGGAAGTTAACCAATACCTTTCTCAGCCTTTCGCTAAGATCAAGTGTAGTATCTGTCCTGATCAGTTTAGAGTATACTCACACTAAGCCCTCAAAATCACAAAATCACAAAATTGGCTAAGATCAAGTGTAGTATCTGATCCGATCAGTTTAATATCTGATCCGTGGTCCAATGGACCACGCAAAAAAAAAAAAAAAAAAAAAAAAAAAAAAAAAAAAAAATCACAAAATCACAAAATGAGCGGCCAGATGGAGTGGTTTCTTTACAAGAATTCAATCTGGCCACTCATTTTGTGATTTTGCGATTTTGAGGGCCTAGTGTGAGTATGCCCTTAAGCCACCACTCTACCCGACACTGAAAAGTCGCATTCCGGTGAGTTCGGAGCGGGTCTTTAGGGGGCGGGTCCTTAGGGGGGGCACCGCAGGCGGGTCCAGTCCTGCAATTTTCACTCGCCAACTTTGGTGATTTTCTGCGCTCAGAAAAATCAAGAACAAAATCTGAAATTTTGAAATCACGTAGATTAGGTCGTTATTTTTCCAGTTAAAAATATCAGAAAAATAAAGAAAAAACAAATTCAGCCCATGAAATAAACGCCCCGCCAATTCGTCACAGTCTCCATTTTTGCCACTTTACAACTTGTGGGCCAAAAGGAAAAGTACCCCGATTTTAGCAGTTTTTCACGCTCAGAAAAATATGTTGGAGGATCTGTAGATTTGGTTGTGATGTTTGCAGGAAAAATATTTACAATTTTAGAAAAATTGTTTCAACCACGAAAGAGGTCGTGGCGGCAATTCATCGCATTTTCAATTGTCTCCGCTGTGCCCGTTCTCCACACTATGCTACCGGTTGCCTCTTGAACCTGTGCCACCTGTCCCCCGATTTTATTTTATTATTATTATTATTATTATTATTATTTTTTAACAGGGCGATGGCCTTGAGGTATTATCATCGGACTAACCAGCCCAGGTAAATTCAATCTTGTGTCTAATCTGACTACGTCGGGTAGAGTGGTTGTTTAAACCACCAGCACCTCACCCTGCTTGAGAAAATCGACGCGGCCGTTGCGGCCGTTAACGTGCCCCGTCGGGCGGGGTACCCACCGGGGTGCGACCAGTAGCCCACAAAAAACGGGCAAAAAAAAAAAA